TTCCATCTTTAGTCCTAAACCCTCCGGGGCCCGTATGCTTCCTATCAATAGTTCATCTAACAGGAATTCCTGACGTTCCTACCTAAGGAGCCATAAGGAATCACACAATCACATATTTTAATGTAAACATCTTTATGTTTTGGTTTCTATAATGTAGAGATTCAGCCACTGAATAAAATTTTCTAACTTGTTTTTTTTTATTTTTTTTATTCCTTTGTAAGAAAATTAAATCTCAAGGTTTGACAGGGTTCATATACATGCACGTTCATCCCATAATGACATCCTTTCCTACAGTGACAGAGATCTTAAAGGTGACCCTGATAAAATGAGAAGGAAGAGGAGCTGGGGGCTACAAGCTGATGAATCCGAATTGAGCGAAGGTCACCAGAGTCCCACTAATTACCTGATCATTTGACTCAGGTAAAATTAGAGACACATCTAGAAGATGCAGTGCACTGGATTGTAGGGGCCAGATTTGAGGCCCCTTGATTTTCAGTCTCTCAGATGCAAGGGTGAGTGTTTGTTTGCACCACCATATATATTATATAGATTTTTATTTTTATTTTTTACATTGTTCTGTGGATCAGCTGCCCTTTTCTATTTAACTAGAATAGTGCATTTTTACTAAGTAGGCCTCATTAACAATAAAACATGTATTTTGATGTATTTTTTCTCTTTTTAATAAATGATTTAAGTGTGTAAGTGATTTTAAATACTTTCCCACAAAGTGCCCCATTGTGGGACAGCTGTATTCTTTTCTTAAATCAGGAGGACAAATGAAAAAAAAAGACCCTTTCTCTCAGTACAGACCTACTGAGGGACACTTTAAATATCAGTCCCTGTCTGTACTATGGAGATGGAAATCAAAAGGATTGAAATTAATCCCTGCAATGAATGTTTTGGTTTTTTTTCTAAACCCAGATTATGCACCTTTATTCCTGTGATTGAGAACTGTGCTACATAAGTGCAACCAGACTGGCAGACTGCAGCATCATGATCATGTCTTCACTCCGATCACAAGGGTAAACTTTAAGCAAATGGGAAATTGATTTCATTTTAATGATTTAATATCACTAAGGTATCTTTTTTAATAGGCTTGTATTGTTGTAGCATTTAAAGCCAACAGTGCCCCATGTGTGATTGATTAAATATTATAGAGATAAATGAATATATCTTTATGCAATATTAATGAAGTTTTTATTTATTTTTTATTTTATGTATTACTCTGCTAGTGTGTTGATGTAAATTCCAAAAAGACATCCCTAAAAGAAAAAAAAAGAGGGTAAAAATAGTGCAAGAATTTGCAGCAAAACCAACAGGACCAAACACAAGTAAAGAAGAGCAGGCTAAGGATAACTGTTCCATTAAAGAGTAGATAAATTATCATCAGTATAAAACTTGAATGAATAAATACTAAGTATAATACTTAGTAATTAAATGTCGAAAGATAAATAAGAATTAAAAGAGATCAACTAGATGATCAATAGATTTTTTAAACAAATTTCGTCAAAGGAAAAAAAGTTTTTTCAAAAAAAAAAAAAAGATTCACGGATGTAGTTAGATCAAACGGACACTAGATGGTGCTATTACAGCACACATTTTTCTATATCCAAAAAGCATTGCTCTACATCCCTTATACTCAAAAACAGAATATCTAGTAAATATTGTAAAGGATCTAGGTGAGAATTGACACACAAATTATTTAATTATTTTGATCATATTTCAAACCACAGGAAGTTCTGCACAAAACGAGCTTATATATATATAAAATTTAAAAAAATCACAAATATGATTTGCTGTACTTAAACAGGACATACAAAAAGAAATAGAGAAAAGTACATTCCAGTGTTAAATTAACAGCACTTAAAGAAACGGTTGGACTACAAACTTAAACTAATCATTTTGTTCAATTTTGGGGGAATTAATTTTTTTTTCAGGTCCAGATTTTCTTTACATAAATCCAAATGTTATCCCTGGGGAGGAGGTGATGCTTAGAATCGTGTTTCTGTCCCATGAATATGGTACCAATAGTTAATGTCCAACACATTAAACTTACTTTCAAATATTTTACTTTATATAATGGAAAAATATGAAACCCACAGACGTCTGTCCTAAAATGTAAAAACTGAAAGGGTCACATACAGTAGTGGGCCTCCTGAGAGAGCATCAGTAGTTTCTAACTCCTGTACAGACTTCAACTTTCAGCCCTAAATAGGCTCCTACATTACATTTGTCCCCTGTAGATTTTTGTCTTTAAGATCATTTAAGAAAGGGAAACTCATACATTATAAAGAACCACATAGCGATGTATTCCAAGTCATTAATTTCAGTCATTTTAAAGATTATAGCTTTCAGATAATAAAGAAAACCCAAAGTACTGTGAAAACAAAAGTTAATTATGGAAAACTCAATGTATCCCAACCTAATCAGCTAATTCACTCAAAACACCTGCATAGGTTTCCTGAGGAATAATAACTATAGAGATTGGATAACCAGAACCGCTCTAACTATAAACTTTATCAAAAAGGAAAGTTTTAAACCTACCCTTAAAAGTAGAAAGGATGTCTGCCTCATGGATTAAATCAGGTAACTAAAAGATCTGACTAACACTTTTCTTTTAGAAATTCTAGTGCCATGTTAGGAATATAAGGTGCAATCATATCTCTGATATGAGAAGGAGCTTGGTTATTTAAGGCTTTGTGAGAAGGAGGATTTTAAATTCTATTTTGGAGGCCAATAAAGCGAAGGCAGGATAGGAGTAATGTGATCGCTATTGTTAATTTTCATCAGAACTCTGGCTGCAGCATTTTGGATCAGCTGAAGCCTTTTAGCTACATTTTGTGGAATAACAAAATAACAAAAAATAAATTAAAATAATAGTAATTTACATCATATTCAAAAGACAAATTTCACTGGTGCCAGTTTTATGTGGGATCAGACCAGCTTTATAGTGTTGTTGAACTCCCAACGAAATGAGCTACAATGGGTCACATTTTTCAGTTCAGTTCAAAAACTTTATTAACCCCAAAGGGAAATCAAATATTGTTGTAACTCTTATTGGGGTTTCTTCAATTATTCTTTAGATACTGATGCAGGCAGGCAGGAAGGATCTCCTGAAGATTTCCATTCTAGATCTGGAGACACCTTCGACAGAAGACACTTTTGTCGTATTGCAGTCCGATGAAGAGAATGCTCAGGGTTCTCCATTTTATAAAGAATATTTCTTTGTTAAATGACATCAATTTAGATACCTAAAGAATAAACAGAAATTTAAAAACAAAAACAAAAAAACAGAGCAGTCTAAAGAACAGGTACTTAGTGATGGGTAACCACAATGTTCTTGTTTAGCAACAGTGTGATAGCCCTTACTATTTTCAGCTTAACAGTACCGGTAAGTTTTCTGCTTAGCAGCTCACTATGCAGAAATGCACTAAGGAGAAGCCTGTGAGATGAGTTAATTGTATTTATGTTCAAGATAAGATTTGTTAAACGGATTAATGATGTATATGCGTAGTAGGTGGGTATATGCAAGTATGTCCTGTTTAGTTCAACCTACTGGACCCAAAATGAGCAAATGTTTTTTTTTTTTCCATTTTTCATGTTTGTACTTAAATCCTATTTTTTGTTGGTTAACAATGTCTTATAGAACAGTTTTGATATCGCCTATCTTAACGGTCAGTACTGCACGATCAACAATGTCCTTTTTTCCCCATGAAGGTTAAATATAATTTTACTATTTTAACAGCCAATATTAATCATTCTTGAAGTTTTCTGAAATGCACACAGCTGGGGCAAGCTGTATTTGATAAGAGCCTAAATCAGTAGTGCTGATACACATGCATCATACAATATAATAAATACCGCTGTTGATAATTTATTAGTGCCTTGAGAAAAATAATATATTGTTTCCAAAATAATTCCTTCTCTGTTCTCACTTTCTAAGATCTCTCAAAAAAACAAGAAAAAAAGAGTCCATCATAAGTCGGCAATTTTGCACTTTAAAATCCTTACCATCATTCTTGCCGGTAAGACAATAAAAAATATATACTTTACAAGTGTCTTTTCGACAGTTTATGATTCTCTTACATGAAAAAAAAACATATACAAGACATTTTTGCATAAATAACACTTATTCGTGTTTTGAATTGATGTATTGTTTGGTCATTTCACGTAAATTCCTTTTAAGTGAAACTGTACAGAGCTGAAACCGTCAATGAGACGAGGGGCATACCACCACTGGCACTCACAATAATTAATAATCTTACTACACACATTGAACCTTAATTACCTGAACTGAAATTGTTTACAGTAATTAAGAAACAGAGTTGATACTTAGAACTTCACATTGTCAAAATAACAAACTTCAAGTAGATTTGTCTTTTTTATTGAAATACATTTAATGGATTTTGGTAAACCAGTTTGACAGTATTATTTATTATATTATGCTGGCATTATGATCGGTATCAGACCACAAACATTATAATTCCACTAAGTGAGGTCGGGCTGATATCGATACCAGGTGTTTATCTCCAGCTTGTTGACTTGTGTATGTATCTTGAAAAGGGCTCGGGAATGAGATTCTTGTTTTTGTCACAGGGAGAGTGATGCAGCAAAGGATTATGGGGAATTTTTAAATGAAGGAGAGAAGCAATGGGTTTGAGAGGATAGGAAAATATAGAATGCATGCCCTTCAAGTGATCTCAAGGCATAGCTACGGTGGCCCTGAAGTGCAAACTGCAACTACAAATCTAAAACCGCAACTACATTAAGGAAAATGCAACTACATAAAGCAAAGCGCAACTACATTAAGAAAAACAAAACTACATAAAGCAAAGCGCAACTACATTAAGAAAAACAAAACTACATAAAGCAAAGTGCAACTACATTAAGAAAAACAAAACTACATAAAGCAAAGTGCAACTACATTAAGAAAAACAAAACTACATAAAGCAAAGCGACTACATTAAGAAAAACAAAACTACATAAAGCAAAGCGCAACTACATTAAGGAAAACACAATTACATTAACCTACCGGAAAAGGTAGGTACCAGTGGGAAAAATGAGACATCGCTGATTGGACGACGGCGCCGTTTGAACCTTGAACCGGAAGTCATTCTGCCTGCTGCGGCTTTTGAAAAAATGGATATTGTCGGCGCCCCAAACATAGCTGCCGTTATCCAGGAATATTTTGAATCAGGACATACGTACGAGGTGATACTGAATATGCTCAAGACTAATCACGAAATTTCAGTTAGTATCCATGTGTCGTAAGACATCATGTCATTTAGCGCTCAATGAAAGTCAATGGGGCTAAACACACCCAACACGATTTTCTGCAAGAGGCTTTCGTAGCTCAAACTGAGATAGACCCCAGGTCTATTTTAGTTACACAGCATTTCAGCAACAATGTTATGGGTCTGACAGGAGGAGAGGTACAAGACATCCTCTTTGGGGGGAAATACAAGTGTTTTTCTTGTCTTTAAACATAGTTTCTACTTTACTTTTTAAAATCAAAAGCCACCGAGCAAAGATTGGGTTAAAAGTCATTCAAAAGACAATATGATTTCCTAACAACGTCTACATTTGGTTGAAAAATGAAAGGTGAAAGCTGTAATTTTCAGATCGTTGAAAAGACATTGAAAACTGGGTTTGCAAAGTTTTTTCAATGTCTATTATTGGACTAAAGAGTGTCAAAATAGGACCAAACCAAGCCAGTTTTCAACAACTATTTCTGGACTAAATCGAGGCTATGTGGTACCGACCAGATGTGACCTAAACATCTAAAGGACGACTGGTGTTTGGGTGGAATCCTCTATCTGTTACGCTTTAAGGGTAAGCTGTGCAGATTTGATCTTTAATCCAGTCTAGTCTGAATGTGCAATACATCAATAAAAAAATTAAAACCGCACCCTCAAGATTATTTTCCAGCCAATCAACTAGGAGAGCGAGACGAAAAAGGTTTCCATATATTGCTGTCTGCAAGGGACAAACATGTCTAAAGCTCCCAAGCTCAGATGAATATGACTGTAGTGTTTTTCTCCTGTGGAGGTCATATCATCCACTTATCAAGTGAAGCAAACTGCTGAATATATCACGACATTGACTTTAGGCTATATCACCCAGCCCTAAAACTAAAAACACTGTTCCACATGATTTTTAAGATACATCTATTGCTATATAAAAATTGCAATCTAATAGCTGCTTAATTTATTAGAACGAACCTAGAAAGATAAATCATACTTTGTGAGCTTCCATATGCCTTTTCAGATTCTGTTGTTGTGTGAATGCTTTATTACAAACACCACAAACAAATGGTTTCTCTCCTGTGTGAACACGCATGTGACTTTTCAAATAGTCTTGTCGTGAGAAGCCTTTACCACAAAAACTACAAACAAATGGTTTCTCTCCAGTGTGAATGCGAATGTGGATCTTTAGATTCCTTTGGAGTGAAAACCCTTTGCCACAGACGCTACAGAGAAACGGCTGCTCCCCCGTGTGGATATGCATGTGGATCTTTAGATTCCGCTGCTGTGAAAACTCTTTTTTACAGACACCACAGACAAACGGTTTCTCTCCTGTGTGAATGCTCATGTGACTTTTGAGGCGGTTTTGTTGTGAAAAGGCTTTACCGCAAATTGAACAAATAAAGGGTTTCTCTCCTGAGTGAACACGCATGTGAATCTTTAAATTCTGTTTTAGCGTAAATTTCTTACTACAAACCCCACATATAAATTGTTTCTCTCCTGTGTGAACAAGAATGTGACTCTTTAGGTGATCTTGTCGCGAAAACTCTTTACTGCAAACGTTACAAATAAAAGGCTTCTCTCCTGTGTGAACACGCAAGTGAGTCTTTAGATTTGATTTTAGAGAGAATCCTTTACTACAAAACCCACACACAAATTGTTTCTCTCCTGTGTGAACACCCATATGGCTCTTTAGGTGTTCTTCCTGTAAAAATCTTTTACTGCAAATAGTACAAGAAAACTGCTTCTTTGCGGTATGGATCAACCATACATGGCTTTTTAGAGATTTCTCTCTCTTAAATCTTTTATCACAAATGTCACAAGAAAATGGTTTTTCTCCTGAATGGACGGCCAGGTGGTTTTTGAGAATGGTCTTTCGATGAAACCTTCTCCCACAATCAACACAAGCAAACGGTCTCTCTCCAGTATGGAGTCTCATGTGGATCTGAAGGTAACTCTTTTTTTTAAATACTTTACCACAAAGATAACATCCATGTTCCTCATTTTCTATGTGTGCAAGTATATGTAACTTCACATAAGCCTTCCGTTTAAATCTTTCCCCACCGATATTGCATCCAAACAGCTTCTCTCCTGTGTTGACTCCGATCTGAGCTTTGACTTTTGAGTGCAGTTTAGGATTTTTACATTTTCTATGGACCTTTAGCTTGCTCTTTTGAGAAGAATATGTAGGATCAAGGTTACGGTTTGGTTCTGGTGCCCCACAGTCCTCCTCAACTAGTTGTGTCTGTTCAGTTGAGCTGCTGGTTAAATTTTCTGTCTCTTTGTCCTCAGTTTTTATTTGGTGAAGCTCTGCTATCTGAGGTTTCTCCCCATCTTCCCTCTTCACAGCAAGCTGCTCTTCCTTCTGACTGATCCACTGTTCTTCCTCTTCCAATTTGATGGGGGGGGGCTCTGGGTAACGGTTGTCCAAACTCGAGCTCCAGTCTGGGAAGACTTCTTCTTTGATCACTGACATCTGATAGTCTGAAATCACTGAAGCACATAGGGATAATCATATCATTCAACCATATATACATACATAAATACATAAATTACATATTACAAGGCTTAATATATATTTCACTTAAATCAAATAAATAAAAGAAAAATTAAAGGAAAATATATTAAATGTTTTCTTAAATGCTTTTATAACGGTTTTTACAGTGGTATATAGTAGCTCACTCTTAGCACCTGTAATTTTTCTTTGTACCTCCCAGTACAATGACAAAGGAGAATATTCTATTCAATGCTATACATTGCAGAATACCTGACAGTGATCAGAACAGATCCAAATATACTTTGACTGAATATTAGACCAGAGAAAACAGCCCATCTAAAAATCCAAATTGTGTCTTGCTTAAAATCCAATTTTATTTTCACTTTTAGGAAGATTTAGGTTTCAACCATATCAATATTTTACACAAATAAAATGCAATGACTAATCCAAAGCAAAAAAAAAATAAAAAAAAAGGTTTGCAAATCAGTGCATTATTTTTAGATCATGAAATATTTTTTAAAGTTTAAACATACAAAACCAAATACCCTTGCTGTTAGTTAACTCTTTTTTCTTCCTATAGCTGATTCTTTTGAAGAAATGTTTGATTTCTCAGCTTCAAGTTAGCATTATTATCCAAGTTGGTATTATTTCGACCTGCAGAAGCAGAACATTCCAGAAACCTCTATTGCATTGACATGAAAGAGGAGAATAATTTAACATCTTGTCGCATTCCATATTTCCAACTGTGCATCAACACAAACAAAAATGCAGAGCTCATGAAAAGAGTTTAAAAAGGCCTGCGATAACAAATCCTAAAGTGCACCTGTTCACTGGGATAACACTGTTTCTACGGATTCTGAAGTAAGAACTTTATGGCAAGGAAAACATATATGGTTGTACTATAAAATAAACATTATTTGTTAAATATGAAAGACAAATGTGTGCACAATTTTATAATTTTGTATTTATTTTTGACGTGCAATATTTTATCTATGGCTATTACAGACTTATTACATGCAAATTAACATTCAGGATGCAAAGATTTATTGCTATATAGGAAATCAAAAATGCACATACAAGTGCTAATTAACTTAGGGCTCTGCAATAACACTACAAAATACAATGTGAATATACTTAACTTAACAATTGTTTTATTTGGAGTTTTAAATCATGTCAGTTTAATATAAATTAATTAGGATGAGGAGATTCACAACACAGGAGTGTGCATTATCACCATCTTTAGAGCTCTAGTGAGAAGCAATCAATGTGTGTGGGAGGGGTTTTGTGATGTGTTCTTATACAAACAAACATGAGCCACTTACTGAGATCTGTCTTGCCCTGTCCCTCTTCCAGTTCTGATGAGGATGCTGCAGGGATGGGAGACAACATACTGAGCCTCCCGGAGTCGCCCGCTTCAATCTTCATCGTTTCAGACATTCTTGATTCACTTAAAAGTCTTTTTCTACAACCCTTGTTTGTTTCTGCTGCCTAAAACTGAAAACTTACGCAAGACATGCTCTGATTTAATAAAGCAGAATAGGAAACCTGAATAGCTTATACCTTCTGTATCCACTCAAGAGATTACAGATAGTATCGTACACCTGGAACCTGGACTCTTCCTGTAGCCCTAAACCATGTTTTTTTTTAATGCTTCAACGTCAGAACCCCCAATAAATCTCTCCTGCTAGCTGAATTAGCTAAAAGTCCATTCATGTTGCAAACAAAGGTCGATGGAATTCTTTAAAGCAAATTTTAGACAGGACTTATCACATCTGCAGAAATAAACATCTACAAGGAGAATGTCAGGATATTTATAGTTAAATCTTTGGTCTAAAACAGTTTACGTTATTTTTCGCTGAGGGCTGGTTAACATTGATACATCCGGTTGTTGCCTCCATTAACCAATGGGCGAGAAGAAGAGCTCTTACGCAAAATTACAACTTCCTTTTTGGAAAACAAGAACTTTTCAGAATAAGTCAACACAACTAATTAAATCGATATCTACTTATTAAAACGATCTTTATTTGCAAGTTAAAGAAAACCAACATAGCTCCCTTTTTCAATGAAACCCCTGGATTTGCATTATCTAGGTAATATGAATCCTAAGTAATTCTTCAACGTGATTTCCTATTACTTTGAAAATCCCGCATCATCCCGGAAACCGCTAAGCTCTTCCGTCTTTACCTATGTAGCACACAGCATTCTAGAGAGTTGTCTGAAAACAAGAACATTAATGATCGGTTCATTTTCAAACAAAAAGTGCAGTTAGAATGTATACTAAAAGAAAGAAAAATGAAATTATAAATAAATATGAAATAAAACAAAACGTTTGGGTTTGAATGCATTTTTTTTTTAATGCATTCTACTGAGAATCTTGATATATAACAGAAAGTCATTAATAGGTGCATACATCTTTGGCTAAATCTTAAGGAAATTTGGATTTTATGGATAAAAGAAATTCCCAAGGATAATACTGTTTAGAAATAATTAAACATTAGACAGCTGCTTTTTCCTAAGTTGTGCTCCAAGCACAACATTCTGACACTCATAAAGTGGAACTCTTTAGTAATCCAAAGCATTTCTGATTTCACACTAGGTTTTTTTTTTTTTCAATTCTCAAAGTTCTGCAATCAATATAGAATAAGAGAGCAGCAGTATCTGAAAGAACTAATCCAGTATTCAACCCATCCATAACTTACCTGACACTTTTTGTCAGACCATCAATGTATCTCTAGTAACTGTAATGTTTCTTAAGATTAATTATTACTATGTATAGCATTATTTACCCAACGTTCTGTTCATTTCACCCCATTCAACCCGATCAACTGTTTTAAGTTTATCTCCCCTACTTTTTCCTATTTTCTTTTTTTTTTTTTTTTTTTTTTTTTTTTTATCTTTTAGGGAAAGCTGTGTCTACCTAAACAACNAACTTAAAGGGAGACAAACCTCTACCTAAACAACTTTAGGTTCTTCGTTGTTTACATTGTTTGAGAGACCAAATGTTACCATGCAAACATTGCAGTTATTGGATTTTGGAACAATGGTATAGCTACAATAGAACTACTTTATGTTGTTTAAAATATGGATGGCTAAGGAACAATAGGTAAAAAAAAAAAAAGAAACATTGCAGCATGCTTCCATGGCATCTATTACGGTAAATCCTGTAGCCAAGCAAGTACTGAAAGTAAAAGCTTTAAGAACTATCCAATTTTTGTTTAAAATTCTATATTTCTGTATCAAAGTAATAATATACTATTCTGAGAGTTTTGAGTGTATCAGAAATTAAAATATATTATATGTAAAGATTCTATACACCATATGACTTCCACTTTTTGAAATGACTGACAAACAATATTGGAGTCTTTCATTCTTTCTTTTTTTAGATATATATCTAAAATGACTTAATCTCTAAGTTTTATGTATTGCTGAAGCAGTTTACCCATCATTACCCATGCAGTGTATTTTTCAGCACTGCATGGATTACTGTTTCTTTTTTCTAAAATCTTCAAGTGAAAGGGACTTTTGGGAGCCATCTCAGCTGGATTAAGATGGAAAAAAGGGTGACATTTTTTTGTTTTCATTTGTTTTATGGAGAACAATGAATAACCACTCATTCTTAATTTATCAGTTTTATCAGATTTTTTTTTTATGTTCAGTATATCTCACTCCAAAATCACACATAAACGTAATTAGATGAAACAAACTGTTGTATCCATTAAAAATAAAATACAACACCAAACTTATCAATGTTTAACAGTTCAGCTTTATTGTACAAAGTAATACATTGAAGTACTAAACAATACAATTTAGCCTGTTTGTCAATCTATTACACATTATCTGTAGAGAACTATGTGAGGCAGATGTTTTAAGCAACAGATAATCGACAAAGAACCAAACAGTTTGAATCTGTTAAAATCTTTTTCTCATTTACTGTTGGAAACAAAGGCTGCAGGTTTAACTGTGTATTTTCATAGTCATAAAGAATTATTGTAATAAATGAGCGTCCGTAACTCTGCATGGGAAGGTTTCATTAAGTTGAGGACCATTAGTCCAGCAGAGGATTAGCGTTCAGTTCGGCCCCATTTAATGCAGCTGATACCAGCAGCCCAACCCGGAAGATGGCAGCTGAAACTGATTGACATGTTTCAGGTGCTTTTTAAAGCTATAAATGTTATTTAAAAAAAAGATTATTGCCTGTCTTGGTGATTTTGTAATATCTTACATTTTTCCTCTGTAAACTATTCCACTAAAAGTCTTTGGTATCCTTTTATCCTCCAAATTTTACCTGTGTGATCTGATCATCAATTTTTATTGAAATAGGACAAAATGATGCAATAAATGCCAATAAATGAGAAATAATTACAAAAGGAAGAAAAGACTCATACATGTGGACCTTATTATGAAGAAAATAAAATGCAAATATGTGAGCTTGGCGCCCCCACCTGGCCCATGACTAAATTACATGTGTTTATATATATATATATATATATATATATATATATATATATATATATATATATATATATATATATATATATATATATATATATATATATATATATATATAGAGAGAGAGAGAGAGAGAGAGAGAGAGAGAGAGAGAGAGAGAGAGAGAGAGATTCCAGTGAGTGTGACTGGGGAATGTGGCTAAAGTGTAAAACAAGTGCACTGTTAAATTAGTGTCAAAATCTTGACTTAAATATAACAAAAACATTGAAAGGTGCATAGTGTTGATATAACGTAACTGTGTTTATTCTGTAGAAGACTAACTATCACTAAATTGTTGAGTGTGAACATCCATATGGTTTTTCAAATATGCTTGTCGCGAGAATCGCTGACTGCATACGCCACAAATGAAGGGCTTATCGCCCGTATGAACACGCATGTGACTCTCTAAGTGATTTTGTTGAGAAAATCCTTTGCTACAAAAGCTACAAGTGAACGGTTTCTCTCCTGTGTGAACACGCATATGTCTCTTCAGATTTTCCTGTAGAGAAAACCCTTTCCTGCAAACACTACAAACGAACGGCTTTTCTCCTGTGTGAACACGCATGTGACTCTTCAGGTGACTTTGCAAGGAAAACCCTTTGCTACAGAAACTGCAGATAAACGGTTTCTCTCCGGTGTGAACAAGCATGTGAGTTTTTAGACTCTGCTGTAGTGCAAATCCTGTACTACAAACACTACAAATAAATGGTTTTTCTCCTGTGTGAACACACATGTGACTTTTGAGATGATTTTGTCTTGAAAATCCTTTACCGCAAACACTACAAACAAATGGTTTCTCCGTGGAGTGGGTCCACATGTGTTTTTTAAGGGTTTCCTTTCTTTTAAATCCTGAACCACAAACATCACAGGAAAAAGACTTCTCCCCAGAATGGACCTCCAAATGACTTTTAAGAATCGCCTTTCTATGAAACCTTCTACCACAATCATCACAGACGAATGGTCTCTCTCCAGTGTGGACTCTTATGTGCGTCTGAAGAGAACTCTTTTTTTTGAATACTTTACCACACAGATCACAGCTATGCTCTATCTTTCCATTATGTGACAACATGTGCATTGTAGCAGAAATTTCATGTTTGAATGTTTTTCTGCATCCAAATGGCCTTCCTCCGTGAAGGGATCCTGTCTGAGATTTCAGTTTGGAACTTTTTTTAGATGATTTATCTATGTGGTCTATTATCATTTCACTTTCTTGAGAAGAACATGAAGGATCGGAACAGGTGTCTCCTTCTTGTCCATCACATTCCTCTCCATTTTCTCTCCTTATCCGTCCAGCTGAGCCACTGGTTGGGGCCTCCGTGTCTCTGTCGTCTTCAGTTTTAAATTTCAGAACTGATAAAGGAGGTTTATTTTCTTCTTCACCCTTCAGAGCAAAATGTTTTTCCTTCTGATCTATCCTCAGTTCCTCCACTTCCTCCTTTATTCTGGGAGGTTCTGTGCTCTGTTGATCCAAATGAGAGCTCCAATCATCAGGAACCTCTTCCTTTTTCACCAAAATCGGATGGACTGGAAACAAAAAGCAAACACAGATATTAATGACTGCTTATGAACAATATTTTAGATTTTAAAACATTTTAATGAAAAAAGGATTTGAAACTAATATATATATATATAAAAAACTGTTCAGAAGAAGCTTTAGAAATCTTTTGTTTGATTTTTATTTTAATTACACAGGTGTGATATCTAAAATGTGATAATATAGAATGGTTAAGAAGTAGGTCCTGAGATTTATCCTAGTTTTTTAAATTAAGTAAAAGTTGTTTTTGGACAAAAACAGATGTGTTTTTCTCCCCATCTGGAGTGGCAAAAATTACTTAGAAGACCAACAAACCTAAAAATAAGAAAGAAAATTATTCAGAGCTTCCTAAAAAGTTGAACTTTGATTACCACAAAACAAACACAGCCAGCACAGTTCATTCCTTAAGTTGCATTCAGACCAAGCGTGGTTTCTGCGGTGAATTCTGCAAGGACCGCTGGGATTTCACAATAAAAGCACAGGTAAAACTTAACTTCACTGACCTCTGCTAAATTGTTCTCTATAAAATAATTTTCATTGGCCAGGGGATGCAAATAATGTTTTGGGAAAAGTCCTTGAAAGACTTTAAAAAAAGTCCACTTTGGTTCATCCAGAGCTGCGTCTGGATGACGGTCGGATTTGGAGGTACTTCCTTGTAAATCTACCTATGCAGAGAGACCAGTGCTGGGCAGTGGTCAGCAACAGACTAAGCTGGAGGTAAGGGAAGATGGCAAACAGTCCCTCTATGGCTGAATTAAAACAGCTTTTTTAAAGCCACCTAAAAACCTCTTCAACCTCATTTCTTATTTCATCCTTTGTTAACATAATTTTCTCTATATTCTATAAATTTTTTGAAAAGAACAGCCTTGCCTGCACCTCTTTAACCTACGTCAAAACTAAAACCAGTCCCTGATTGGTAAAATACCAATCGCCCAGAGTCTACAGCCTTTAGCTAACAGCATGTGCAGCTGTTAGCCTCTTGAAAGAAATGAAAGGCTCTCAGTTCAAGTGCAGGAAACTGCTGTAAATCAGTCTAAATCATCTATTTCCCCATTAAAAATGAGTCAGTCTGCATGAGCAAAGCTACCATTGAATCCACTCTATATGCCACCCTAAATGGATGTATAAATTACTACGATGTAGTCATAATATTTAACATACCATTGTTTTCTGAAATGGTTTAATTGATATAGATTTCTCCCTGCAATTGATTCCTGCAGCCTCTGTCATTTATTTACACACTATAACTGCCTCTGCTATCTTTTGGTTACAATTGATAAAATAACCTTTACATAATCTTTTTGGAATCAAGTAAAATATTAAGCTTAGAGCTTTTATTATAGCTTTATATATATTTATATAAACTCTGTTGTGCTGGTGACATCATCAACACTAAACCAGAATGATGGTTGTCACCAGACCACAGCGGCGGGAGGAAAGAAGCCATGCAGCGGGCCAGCTAGGAGTTAGACCCGGCTTTTTTGCCAGGGGGAAGGGAGCCAGATGCTGATTCTTAGCGGGTCGACCCATGACTGAAAATCATGCATTAACCTGGTATTTTCAAGGGGAAAGAGGCTACAGACTACATGTGAAGCTATGCACATATTTATACATTTGTGCCATTTATATTAATTTACGGTTCTACATAATATATAGATTAAATGGGTGGAGCAATGCTCTTTATCTTTAATTACATAGAAGACTTCTAGGTGACTGCAGAGACAAACTCTCCCCTATAGAATGTAAAACCTATTTCAGAAACGAGCAAACATTCTGGTTAGTCCTCTCTAGTATAGTCTATATTGTTGTGAATTGTTTTTTTGCTGCATTTTCTAATAAATTTTTGGTTAATATACCAGCGATAAATGTCAAAGTAGGAATTCTACATGATGGTATCACTGCTGCCTCCATCAGACTTAGAGGAGTACTGCTGGTTCCAGGGCTATTGGATTACATCTCAGGAGCAACAACATATCGCCTGGTAGGGGTGGCCAATTATTGGCTAGGAGTTGCCATGGCACCCCTGGCCACCCCTTTAGATCCGCCCCTGCATCCATAGTGGGACCAGACACAAGGCCTTTCCAAACTGAGCTCCTGTGTTTGAAATGGAAAATATGACAATGCCTCTTTGGAAAAATGCATGAGGAAAAGCTTAAAAACTATCAATGCGTGAAAACAGGTGACTGATGAAACTGATCAGGAATGATGTCAAGAGCTGCAGACTCATCCATACTTATTTTTTCCCTATTTAAAAAAAAGAGGGGAAAAAAATGACATTCACAAACCTACCAAAACTTTGCTGGATTTTATGTCATTATCTGATAAAACAACATTTTAACTTTTGGTCACATAAGAATAAAGTAAGGCATAATTATCAATCCTATTTTTAAAACTCAACTGGTAAAATTATTTCTTTTCGCTTTGGAACTGGATTCATATTAGATGAACTGGGTTTTATGGGGGGTAGCAGACCTGGATACTGTATACTGGGATTTAAACACAACTCTGTCATTTTTGATTAATTCATTCAGGGCTGAGTTGCTCCAATGTGCGTCACTTACTTAGATCTTGATGAAGGGGGGACACCCCACTGCGCCCTCCAGGTTCATCTGCTTCAACCTTAATCATTTCAGACATTCTTAGTCCACTTGGGATTCTCGTTTTCACCGCCCTTGTTTAAAATACTACTTGCCTTATAACGCTAAACCTTAAAAGCATCGGCGACCAAAACACTGATCAGGTTTTTCTACTCTTAGCTGCGTTGGCTTCACACTGCTTTACACAGCCGATTAAAAATAATAATAATAATCCCAACAGTTCCCTATAAAAAAAAAACGCGACATTACGCTGAAAAATTTTAATTAGGGAGTCTGTCATCAATTACAATTTTTTTAATGGAAAGTTTGACGCTCATTTCTGTCGGGCTTAGCTAGCTAAGCTGACTTCTCGCAGCTGATCTTCTTCGTCTTGCATTTCCGGCAGGGTAGACGCCTCCTGGCGTATTGCTGCCCCCCACAGGTTGCTTGCAGTACTAACGCTACTGAAGTACTCTAATCCATAGATATCCTCTGATTTCTTCTTCTTCTTGAATTTTTTTTTGGCGGTTGGCAAAAACATAAGGTGAGCATTACTGCTACCAATTGGTAAGGAGTGTGGACCACATGGCAAAAAAACAAAAACAAAAAAAAAACACTATATCCTGTTATACAATTTAATTTTTCAAAACCTCAAATATAACCTGATATCCTCTGCTTCCTGATTCCTTTTGTAGTAAATCAACAATGTCAGGTTTCAATTTCATATTACTAAGTTTCCTAATTAACTTGTTTCTCTAAATCAAATATTTCCTACAACTAAAAAAAAAACATGTTCCACTGTCTCATCTTCCCTACAGTCACATTTCCCTGTCTGATGTTTCCCTGTTAAAAAATAATGACCTATTCAATCCTGTGTATCCTATTCTAAGTCATGAAATAATTATCTCTTCTCTTCTGTTCCTTTCTGTTCTTCTCATTTTATCCGATTCTCTTTTGGATTTTATAGAACCACCTTCCTTTCTTTACTTCTTCCTATAACTTTTGCCACCTCTCTTTTGTTTTTTTGTTTAATTATACCCTTTATTTCTGTTATACTAAAACAAACATTAATATCTATCCTTACCTTATTTGTACTCTCTTTAGCCTGTGTGGAGATTTGTGCACACATTATGAACAATATAACAGCAGCTATTTGGAATAAGAGTCTGTAAATATTTTTTTTTTTCAGCGCTGAACTCAGATATTCAGCACTAAGAAGTTTTAATTTGAGTACATAGAATAAACAATTTGGAAGATATTGGACATCCTTGTCTAATTCCTGGCTTAATTTCAATACTTTCTGATAACCCTGTGGAACGTATAATGTAGGTACTGTTGTAAAGCATTTTAACTTAACCTTCAGCAGCAGAGATAAGATGGTAAATTCATTTTTTTTTAATGCATTCTATGGTCCATGTCCATAGCCAATAGAAAATGCACGGTTGTGTATTACCTTCCATAAAAACAAGGCTTTTATAGTGAAAAACATGGGTTTATGGTTGCAAGCCATTAAAATGTAGTAGTAAATGGACAAAGAAAATCATTTTTTATTTCAAGTCTTTGCAGTGTTCACCTCTTATGTAAGTTTTCAATTTAGATCTTATTAAAAGCAAAGGCCATTTCAGTTATATACCTACTAGTTTGTATTACAATCGACTTTATTGGCCATGGTTGGTGCACAAACAAGCAAAAGGAGCTGGTTTTTCATCATTTACATCAGATAACATCACTGAAATACCTTTTAAAAAAAACCTAAGAGGTTAAAATAAGAATAAGCAGCATGTACAGTTTAGATTACTACAAAAACAATAGAAAGTGGAGCCTGGGAACTGACAAGAGAAAAAAGAAGACAGCATGTGCATGAAATACTAATTTGCTACCCTGAAATACTTATTTATATGCACAAGAAACATATTTTCAACCAGGAAATATAAAAGACATGCGCACTAACAACTAATTTGCTTTGAAGTCTTTATTTGTGGCCACAACATTAGATATAAGGTGGGCAGAGCTTACTGAAACAATCGTCCTAGACTCAGCAGGTTCTCAAATATTTTATGCTGTGGATGAACTACAGTGATTCAGAAAATTCTTACAAGAGATTATTTTCTCGTTGTATTACTTTTTCTTTATTACTTACGTTACTTCCTAACACGTGCCAAAGCTGACTGTGAAGTTTTTCTGTGCCAGTAAATGGATTGCATTTGTGGACTGGACACATGTGTATGGACTACATACTGCTGCTTCTTTAACCAACAAGTGATAGGCTTAAGAGCCGAAGCCTATTAAATAGAGCCTCAATCAAACACTCATCAGGTGTTTGTAGAAAAACATTTGGTCAGTGCTGAGCTCTGCAAGGGATGAACATAGTGAGGGAAATGAAAGGCTACAGACTGTAAAGGACACTTTTTAAAAGAAGGAATTATAGAATGGTGGGTTAAACTGGAACACCGTTTTTTCAAAAACGTAAAAAAATTCTCAGATGGTGATTAAAAGTACACACTTTAATTGTACGACAAAAGTGGGTGCATGAACCTGGCAGCTATCCAAGGCCAAGGTGAAGCAACAGCCAATTTACCCTCCCCAATACCCTGCAGTGCTTCACGTTATACCTACATTTTGGCTGCAAATAAATACTCCATGGGCAGAAATAAGTACTTTTTTGCACATAAATATATACATGTTTATTTTTTCTCTTCCAACTCCATATCAGTTCAAAGGCGTCGAAGAATATAGCTTCATGTTAGCACAGCTAGCATATAGGCAATCAAGTCTGCTGGCTTATAAACATGGTTACAGGCTGTGAGCATCTACTTATATGAGCAAGGTAGATAATAATCATGAATGCAGTCATTAAGTATGTATGCTGAATGAGGTTTTTTAGAAACAGTAGCAACAACTGAGCTACAATACATAAAAGTTTGGCCTGCTGATAATGGCACATGTCCTAAAAAAGGGCACACTAAAAAAGCATGAAATACATAATAAAAATGTAAAAATATGGGTACAAATAATTTAGTTTATGGGAATTGCTCTTTGAAAGAGTCAAGATTTTATATTAACGTCTTTTTTCCCACCTCATTAGAAATGCACCTTACAGCACATTTATTGTTGTAATATTTTACAACAACAAATGTTAGTAAATCAGTAGTTATTTTATAACTACTGATCTGTTCAGTGTAATAATCCAGCTTTACTTGGGCCTATACTTTTGCTGTCAGGACCGAAGAATAATCCACTCACACTTATAGTTTTCATTACATACAGCTGTCATGCGTACTCATGTGTCTCTTTAGATTCCCTTGTTGTGAAAAAGCTTTGCTGCAAACATTACAAACAAAAGGTTTTTCACAAGTGTGAACACGCATGTGTCTCTTTAGGCGATCTTGTTGGGAAAATGCTTTAGCACAAACGCTGCAAACAAATGGTTTCTCACCCGAATGGACTCTCATGTGGTTGTCAAGATGGCATTTCTGAATAAATCTGGTTTTACAAACATCGCACCCAAACGGCCTCTCTTCTGTGTGGACTCTTACGTGTCGCTCTAACTGGATTTCCTTCACGAAATGTTTACCACAGTCGCTACAGCTGAACGGCGCAGTGTGAACATCCATGTGTTTTTTTAGATGATGTTGTTGCGAAAACCCTTTATTGCAAAAGCTACAAATAAATGGTTTCTCTCCCGTGTGAACGCACATGTGCCTCTTTAAAGTATCCTGCTGTGAAAACCCTTTACTACACACACTACAGATAAATAGTTTCACTGGGGTGTGAACATGCATGTGTCTCTTCAGGTTTTCTTGTAGTGAAAATCCTTTACTGCAAACACTGCAGATGTACGGTTTTTCTCCTGTGTGAACTCGCATATGTCTCTTCAGAACCCCATGTTGATAAAATCCTTTACTACAAAGACTGCAGATGAATGGCTTCTCCCCTGTGTGAACATGCATGTGACTCTTCAGGTTCTGTTGCAGTGAAAAACCTTTACTACAAAAACTACAAACAAACATTTTCTCCCCGGTGTGAACACGGATGTGTCTCTTTAGATTCTCTTGTAATGCAAACCCCTTGCTGCAAAAGCTGCAAATAAATGGTTTCTCCCCCGTGTGAACACGCATGTGACACTTCAGATGAATCTGTTGTGAAAATCCTTTACTACAAACACTACAGACAAATGGCTTTTCTGCAGTGTGAATCCTTGTGTGGTTTTTAAGCGTCTCCTTCCTTTTGAATTTTGTTCCACAGACATCACAAGAAAAAGGTTTTTCTTCTGAATGGACCTTCAGGTGCTGCTGAAACAATTTCTTTGCATGAAACTTTCTACCACAATCTTCACAGGCAAAAGTTTTATCACCACTGCGGACTCTCTTGTGGATCTGGGGAGAAGGCTTTTCTCTATAAACTTTAGAGCAAACATCTGATTTATGCTCTCTCTTTCCGCTGTGAATCATCATGTGCAATTTAACATGAGTCTTGTGTCTGAGTCTTTTACCACAAACATTACAACCTAATGGCTTCTCTACCACATTAACTTCGACCTTAGTTGTAAGTTTGGATCGCAGTTTTGATATTTTACTCTTCCTATTATCCGTCATCTTACTTTCCAGAGAGGAACATACTGGATCAGGGTTCCTGTCTAGTTCGGATCCTCCACATTCCCTTCCATCAGGGTCTGTTTTTATCTGCACTCCAATCGTGCTGGTTTGAGCTTCTGACTCTATGTTGTCTTCAGTTTTGATGTGATAAAGCTCTGATAACCGAGGTTTCTCCTCGTCTTCAGTCTTCATATTGAAGTGCTCTCCTTCAAGTTTGATGCAGAGTTCCTCCTTCTGCAGCGGGGCGTCTGGATCCAAAATCGAACTGCAGTCAAGTAAAACCTCTTCTTTGATCACCAACATCTGATGGACTGAGAAAAGCATAACACAAATGTTTAAAATATTGCTTAACATATCCAAAAAGGCCAGAATTTATTTTCTTAAACTCAAGGTAAAGGTCGTTTTAATATTGTATGAATATTTATTTTTCCTAGTCCTTGTCCACACGAAGAAGGATGTAGTTTAGGGAATGCAGTCATGGCTCTTTTAACCCTGGTCTCTTAACCCATGTGAGGAGGAGATGTGAGGAGGCAGGGAAACACCTAAAACGTGCAGGACAGTGGGACCTGAAGACCAGGATTGAGAAACCCTGGTCTATTCGACAACTGAGGCCTCTGTACAGTACACGGGTTGCATGCTCTACTCCTGCAAGATGACCTTCTCCAACGAAGACACTCCAGTTCCTAAAAGGTGCCAGTTATTAATCGCAATCTTACTTACGATTTACAAATTTTTGCTTATATTCGCAAAAAAATCAATGAGTAAACAACCCAAACCTACTACATTCTTAATTGATTGAACGCACAACATGCTTTTAAGAAATGATATGACCAACCACTACAAGTATAAAAAGTAATGTGGGAAAATGTTATTTCCGTTCAAAATTAAAAACGGATTCCTCAGTCTCTAAAATATAATATAAAATGTAATAAAAAATAAAATCATAAAAAAATTATAATAAAATTGGATTTTCCTAATTTAAAACACATAAAAATAATAAATAATGATAAATATCAACTAGGGATGTAAACAAATAATCAACTTACAATTAATTGTTAACTTACTAAATTTAAAATTTCTTTATCCGAATAATTTATCAAGTCCAATGTCTCTTAGTGTTGTAATGTTACCGCCATCCACTAGAGGGTGCCACTTTTCATTCTAAAGTTTCGCCTCACTGGCATTTGCAGGGAAGTAATGCCAGAGCCGAGGAAAGCTAGAGCAGAAAAATGCCATTTTCGGTTTTGTTTGTAAATGCACTGCTCAAAATAATAAATAAAGGGAACACCTAAACCACACAATATAACTTTAATAAATCAAACTTCTGTGAAATCAAACTATCAAGTTAGGAAGCAACACTGACTGACAATCAATTTCACGTGCATGTGCAAATGGAAGAGACAACAGGTGGAAATTATTGTCATTTATCAAGATTCATGCAATAAAGGAGTAGTTCTGCAGGTGGGGACCACAGACCACTTCTCAGTACCTATGCTTTCTGGCTAATGATTTGGGAACTTTTGAATGCCAGTGGTGTTGTAACACTGGTAGCGTTAGACGGACTCCACAAACCCTACGTGGCTCATGTAGTGCCGCTCATCCAGGATGGCACATCAATGTGAGCTGTGGCACAAAGGTTTGCTGTGTCTCTCAGCGTAGTGTCCAGAGGCTTGAGGCACTGACAGGACACAGGCCAGTACACAAGGACACAATGGGGAGACTGTAGGAGAGCAACAACCAAGCAGCAGGAAGCCTGCCTTCTGTTCACCCTTTATGCAAGGAGGAACAGGAGCAGCACTGCCTGAGCCCTTTATAATGACCTCCAGCAGGCCACAAATGTGCACATGTCTGCAGCCCAACACTGTGCAGGATGTTTGGCATTCGCCAGAGAACACCAGGATTGGCAAATTCATTACTGGCACATGTGACAAACGTGACAGAGTCTGGAGATGCTGCCTGCAACACCCTTCAGCATGACCTGTTTGGAAGTGGGTCAGTATAATGTCTTTTAGGGCCGCATAACCCTCCATGTTCTCACCAGAGGCAGCATGACTGCCATTAAGTACCGAGATGAGATCCTCAGACTCATTGTGAGGCCAAATGCTGGTGCGGTTGGCCCTGGGTTCCTCCTAATGCAGGACAATGCTAGACCTCATGTGGCTGGAGTGGAAGAAAAAGGCATTAAAACTTTGGATTGGGCCACATGTCCCCCACATGTCCCCCAGACCTGAATCCAATTGAGCACATCTGGGAGATCATGTCTCGATCCAACAATTAACTGCTTTGGTCCAGGTTTGGAAGACCATCCACCACCGCATCAGGAACATAACCAGGCATCATAGGGAGGTCATACAGGCATGTGCAGGCCACACACAATACTGAGCCTAATTTTGACCTATTTCAAAGACATTACATCCAAGTTGGATCAGCCTGTAGCGTGTTTTCTACTTTAACATTGTGTGTAGCTTCAAATCCAGGCCTTCATTGGTTAATAAATTTCATTTTTTTGAATTGAGGATTTTTGTGTAATTTCCTGGTCAGCACATTCAACTTTGTAGAGAAAAAAATATTCAATAAGAATATTTAATTCATTAAGATCTAGGACGTGTTATTTTAATGTTCCCTTTATTTTTTTAAAGCAGTGTATAAAGACTCAATAAATTCCTTACTTATCACTGAAATAGTGCCCTTTTAGCCGTAATACGCTGTGTTCAGAATGAGGCCAAATTTAGCTAAAAACAGATCTATATTCCAGTTACCGTCCACCTCACTAAAAAGAAGAGGCAAACAGACTTGATGATGGTTTTACATCTCTGAACATTGGAAATCATAGGTTTCTTAAATACTTTTATCATATTTTTGACTCTTTAACCTAATAGGGTTGGATGTTCCTAAATATTTTATCACTCTGATTATTTCAAAAGTCCAGCAGTGCTTTAGCAAATGTGAGTCACTTACTGAGATCTTTGCTATTTTGAGTCTGCTTCAGTTCTGCTGCGGGTGGCGGAGGAAGGGGGGGCGCCACACTGAGTCCATCGGAGTCGTCTGCTTCTACCTTCATCATCTCAGACATACTCACTCCACTTGGAAATCTCTTTTTCACAATCCTTGTTTGCAACCTTCACATGTTTAGAAGAGCAATAGAATGAATTAGAATAGATTAACAACTTTGGACAAATGGAAAATTTATACTTCTAAAATATATTTTCAAAATTAATCATATTTACTCAAAACAGAACAGAAATTTAGATAATACATTTGAAACTGGGAAATGGTACCCCTTCAGCCACTAAATAAGATTATGTTAAGTGTGATATACATGGTAAGTAAATGATTGTTTTAGGGCAACGTTTGCTTCCTGTCTATTTGAAAGAAATCCTCAAGTCTGAGCAAAAAAATGCAAAACCACATTCTGCAGCTTTTACAACAGCGTGGCTTTGTTAAGGAAGAATCACGGTGTTAACCTGGTGTGCATGAATTTCACAACTTCAACAGATGGAGAAAATTTAGCCCAATATTAAAAGTAAAAACCACAAACCCTTTTACTGCTGGATACCGCAGGTATCAAGAATGAGAGTGAATCCCATCAACAAAACACCAAAAATACCTAAACTTTCTGCCCAGACGCTTTTATGCTGTGGAAATAATTTAACATTTTAACATCAATAAAAAAGGGACCATTATGTCCGACCAACTGATTTTCATTTTTTTTACACAATGTCAAGTGGTTATTGATTTTTTTTCCCCTGCTATAATAAAACATATAATTTCTGGAGATAGTCACCATTTTGGACCACCTTTTCTACTATTAAAACTGCTCCAGAAAATGGCCCACATTTTCCCATTTTACTGACTATTATTACGGTAGAAGGAGCATGTTGTGTGCAGAACAGCTTTTACTGTAGCTGGATGCTCTGTAAACATAAAGATAAGGAACAGAGCCTCACCACTTTCAATACAGAGGAAGCAGAAGTAGCTGGAGCTGCCTTATGTTTTGGTAAGTGTGTTAATCGTTTCACTTTATTCACTTAATTTACTAAAGGTGAGGACCCTGAATGTAACATAGACCAAGCTTATCAACAAAAAGTAAGGCAAGGCAGCTGGAATTAGTAAGACACTGGATAAAATGTAACAGAATGATAGAAAACTCCATGTAAGGCTCTGATCTGGTCTGGTGGGTCTCCAGGGACCAAAAAGGGGTCATATAAAGATGCTTTAGAACTGATTGGTGACCTTTATAGTATATTTTCATACGGTTAGTTATATAAGTACAGTTAATATAAGTTAGTTTCCAGATTTATTGTTTTGGGTAAATACTTCCAGGCTTAGATGTGCTTTTATAATACTCAGTTTGTATATATGAATGTTCCTCGTGAAAAAATAAGAGTCAGCAACAGGAAAACTGAAAGAGACAAGATCTGGATGATCTGAGAATGATGGAGTAAGCAATAACTCCCTTGTTAATGTTCATTTAATAGTTTTTTATTTCCCTTGTACCTCCAAATATTATGTTAATTGGCATATTTAGTATTTAATCAGGTGAAATAACAATAATAATATGTATGATGAGATTATACCGCATATATACAACCCTGGTATCTCATCTAGAAATAACCAACAGGTTTATGAAACAAAAATCTTATTTTAACTTTTAAATTGTAAGTTTAAATGTTGTACATTCTAATGTTTTTGGAAGGGACTGTTATTATTATTATTATATTATGTCTCTCTTTTAGAAAAGTGTAAGATTGATAGAAGATGAGAGGAAGAAGATGGGAAAACTGATAGAAAAAGATGGGATGAGAATGAAAGAAGATAGGAACAGATGGAAAGAACAGTTGAAGAAAGAAAAATCTACTTAGAAAAATAAAACAGCAGGCAGAAGTTAGAAGAAGAGAAAAGGTGAAGAAGGAAGAAGACAGAATGACCAGATTCCATTAATAACAACATTGATTTTTTTCATTTTATTAATCTTAGGAAATACTGACAATGTGGGGGAAATCCTGGCTTTTAAACTTGATTTTTGTTGTTGAAATTTTTATTAAATATGTAAAAATAAATGAAACTATTACTTTCCCAGTTTTCTAATATCATCTTAATTAGACCTTTTTATTTAATTTTTTTCCATTAGCTGGAAATGTCCCGATTTGATTTCAGAAATCTGGTTAAATCATAACCTTAAAATAATAATATAATAAACTAATATACATGTTTTAAACGGACTGAACGGAGCTGAGTGACCTTAGTATTCAAGACATGGTAATAGTAAAATTAAAAAAGGATCCAAGTTTGTTTTAACGTACAGCTCTTCTTAAAGCGTCGCGAACATACCAGCTGTCCACCGTCCTTTGGTCCTCAGCTAAACAAGGCTGAGAGGAAGTGTCCACAGTGGGTGTTTGCTTCCACGCACCGTCTGTCACAAGGTGTGGACTTGTTTAAAAACCATCAACTTTCACCATCATGAACACTGATCATCTGATGTTAGCTGTTTAAGCTCCATGACGGCGAACATTTGAACCACAGTGCTACTGAAAGCTAACGGCAACCTTCGGCTCCAGAAAAAATCGTAGAGGTTCAATATAGCAGCGATTAACCAGACGAAGGCTACACGTTAGAGAGCCTGGGATGATTGTCAATGCTAATAAAACACACACATCCCACACATTAAAAAATATCATTATTTTTTCCCTCAGAACATAGCCAGTCAAGCTAGCACTGATAAACCCCGTTTACTTCCTATTTGCTGGAAGTTCTCGGGTCCTGCGTTAATGTCGCCGCCATATTGTGAGTGGCATCAATGTTCTAGCACGTAGGTCTTCAACAGGGGTTTCGCGACACCTATGGGGTCCACGGAAGTACTGCATGTGGAGTTGCAAAAGTACAACGGAGTATTAGGGCCAGGCTATTTTATATATTTTTTTGTATTTCGAGAAAAAAAGTCATAAAATTAGGAGAATAATGTCGTAATATTACGAGAATAAAGTCGTAAAATTATGAGAATAAGGTCATAAAATTACGAGAATAAAATAATAAAATTACAAGAATAAAGTTGTAAAATTACGAGAATATAGTTGTAAAATTGTGAGAATAAAGTCATAAAATTACGAGAATAAAGTTTTAAAAGTATGAGAATAAAGTCATAAAATTACGAGAATAAAGTTGTAAAATTATAAGAATAAAGTCACAACGAGAATAAAGTCGTAAAATGATGAGAATAAAGTCGTACAAGTACGAGAATAAAGTCATAAAATGATGAGAATAAAGTCATAAAATTACGAGAATAAAGTCATAACATTATTAAAATAAAGTAAAAACAAGAATAAAGTTGTAAAATTACAAAGTCCTAAAATTCCGGGGGGAAAAAAACACGTATTTACTCTTAAAATTAGCCCTTTCTTCCCTAAAATGAGGAATGTCAAGCATTATGTTATTTGTCAAGCACTGGTTATACTTTGGCTCTGGTTTGACATTTATTCTCATAATGTTCAGAAATAGATTTTGTGTCATATCAGGTAAAGAGAAAATGTGTCTCTGCAAGTCATCTGGGAGAAATCATAAATAACTATTTTAATAAAAACTTATCAAATAATCAATTTCTGTAGATATTAGTGCCTTTAAATATCAATTTTATGCAGAATGTTTATTGATACAAGTAGGTAAGTAATGACGATGGTTAAGGAATTTTATCCACTATACCTTTTATTTAGAAAGCACGGATGTTTAAATATATGCATCTACTTGTTAGCAAAGGCTGTAGGAAAGTACAGTTTGTCTTTATTTTTTAAATAAAGACAATTTTAGTGCTGGATCGGGGCCTCGCCCGATACTGGTATCGGTATCGGTGTAATACTAGTTGTAAATATTACAATTTTCAATTCAAAAAAATGAAACACTTTAAAGGTATAGAAGACAATCTTTTATTTCTGGGTGGAATACCTAAATAAGTGGTGCTCGTAATTGTTAAATCATTCTGGTGATATGTTTAAATATTACCATTGTACATGCTCGTCACGTTAGTTATCTTTTTGTGCACATGCGTACTTTCAGGCATCTATCTGTGGTGAGCTATGGTTTCAGTCAGTCATTGAAGCCCACCTTTTTAAACTTGGTTCTTTGAAAGCGGCCGAGGATCATAAGAGAAAAAGTGTCTACGAAGTGTATGAGAAGCAAAGAAAGGTCTCAGAAGAGGCAGATATATCCCAGAATGCTTTGAGTGGAGAGCATTCCTCGCAAAGCATTATGGGATTGGCTGTCACAGCGGCCCGCTGTCACCATAGGCTTTCGCTACCCGACAACAGAGACTAATAACAAAGATGGCGAAGGCACCAAGCAGTGGAGGAGGAGATAGGTGACCATTGGTAAGTTAACCGAGTTCACTATAAAGTCCACTATATAGTCCCCCTCTATGTAGTGATTGAGGGGTTTAGGGGTGAGGACGGACGTTTGGACACAGTAAGCTTGTAGGAGCTATGAGAACAGAGTGTGCACAAGGAAAAATGGGCTTGTGTGTGCTCTCGCACCCATGGAGAGGTCTGGTCTTTTAAAAAATACGCAAAAATCCTCTAAAATACCTTTAACCTCTACTATGGATCTTAACCTACTAAAGAAATTAGAAAGTTGACAGGAAGTACTTGTATAGCTACCTCCAAAGTAGGGCTTGCCATTTTCTGCCCCCTGACTTATAAAATATACAACAGACTTAAGCTATTCAGACAGACTATAGGTATTAGGGTACCATCTATTAAGGTTACTACTGTGACCAGTTGTCCAAGGGTTTTTGGGGTTTAGTCTTATCTTCAGAAATACAATTTGGTACAGCTCCTTCTAACCAATGATGAAGTATTTTAAGTTTTTTCTTTGCAACATTTTAATGTGAAAAACATCAATACTATGCAAGTACTTTCAATTATAGATGTAGAATTTGAAGTGATGCACTTGATCACTGCTATTGATCAGACAAAAAGAGCCTGGACAGGCGCTCAAAACTCCTGGAAAGACAAAAAAAAATAAATCACACCTCTTCGCTCTTTTGGCATCATGCATCTTCTACCTTCCATTTTCTTTTTTTTAAATCAAATGACTTACCTATGTTCTATAAATCTTTCTCTTCAAAAATAGGCAATTTAAACAGGCTTTGATGCAACCACAGGGACACATTAAAACCACTTAAACATTAAATATTTTTGTTTATTAGACAAATGGAATCAATGTTTTTCATTACTGTTCAGCAGGATTATAGATGTTTTGGACAATGCGACTGTGGTCCAATGAAGCAAGCAAGCTGTAATATTTAAAACATCCTTGTGAAATTACAGATATCTGCTTCTTTAATATCATTTAATAATCAGTTGAATATCATATATTTATGTCTGCTGATTTTGATCTTTTATTGCACCAAATCGCCCAAAAATATTTCCTATATCCCCTTTCAAAATGTAGCATCTGCTTTTCCCCCATAGAGGACAAAGCCATTTCAGGTAGAAGTAAATTATATTATGAAAAATTAGTCAATTGGACTAGATTCTTTAATAAATGTTAAAAATGTTAGGACCCCAGGCCTTAAACTAACTGGCTCAGTTTGCCATCCATGCCCACAGTATAAAAATATGGAAACCTTTGTTTTAAAAAAAGTAGTTGTTCATTAACATAACTGAAAGCAAATCAAGCAGAATTTGGAGTTGGGCTTTTCTGAATTGTACAATTTGTATGTCTGAGTAATGGTGAGGCAATAGCTTATTTACATTAGCACCACAACATCTCCTGATTTAATTTCCCAAAATCTAAGTTGTGCTATCATACTTCTGTTAAAAATAAAAACAATTTTTAGTGAAAAAACAACATAAATATTCAACATTCTAGGAAAACTCTTGGATTAAGACACTGTTAGCCAATTCCTAGAAATTCCTCCACGATTGTTGAAATCAAAAACGAGAATTATCACACTAGGATTTTCTTCAGAGGTTTAATATGCTCAGACAAAGAGGAACACATACCAGATTTAAACAGATGAACCAGGTCAGAGATACTGGCTACATAGGGTCTTATAGGCTACTTCAAAATGGTCAAAAAGAGACAAAAACAGATTCAGTGCGGTATCAGAAAATAATCACAGAGATCATTGGATTAAGATGAAAGCTCCACAAAAAACTAAGACTTATGCAGAAGTAAAACCTAAGGCACATCAGTGGTATTAGTTAAATAACAAAAAGCCTGTGTTGACCTAGAATTAATGAGATATTAGCTTCTAGTTTAAGAGAAGATACATGACTGCTCAGAAATGTTGCCCTTGTCAATTTGTTCTTTGAGATTCAATCTATTTACTGATGGTTTGAGGAAAGAGCTCCTGTCAAACCTATTCTGAAAGTCAAGAATAAGTCAATTAACTGAAGGCACAGAAACAATAGCTTAACAAGTGCAATTTAGAATTATTACCATTGTTCAATCCAAGGAACAAACAAGAATTGTCCCCAGAAGTTGTTCGTGGCTCAAAGAGGACTAACTAGACCAAAACCAAGTTATTAAGAGTTAAAATTACAAATATTATTACAAATGTCCAAGCTACAGAACTCAACACTCCTATTCCAATTATAATTTCTAATTTGAAAAATAAATCCTTTTCATGGTTTGGTGAATTGTGGTTTATAGGTTAAACGTTGGACAACAGACATCAGCTCAATCTAACAAAAACAACAAACTGGCTTAAATAAATATTACTAAATAATGTTTAAGGTTACCAGCGAAATTCAGCTTTCAAAGAAAAGTAGGTGTACTATACACTGTAATGTTGCAAGAAAGACATAAGATAAATCTATGGACTGAAATTAAATTTCCGACTAAATGTAATAACAACTGTAGTTGAAAACATAATTAGGAAAATTGGACAAAGGACCAACAGAGTTCAGTCTTAGTTAGTTGTGTACCTGGTTATGAAAAAAACAACCATTCAAGCAAGCAAAAACATATAAACTAAAACGTAATAAATATTGACGAAAACATAATAGCAATAAATTATCAGCCAAATTTACTCTTCAAAAGAGAACATTTGGTTTAGGTTTATAATTTCATGTTTGATGATATATTAGCCAATTCTTTAAGCATTTAAAAAGAAATTGTTAACAATTTCTACTTACCAAATATTTTACATATTAAACAACAGAAATAATAATAATACAAACACAATTCAGTCTTAAAGGAAAACTTTAAGAGCTTAAAACACGTTACAACGCAGGTGTCAGCACAGCATTAAAAAAGCCGACAGGCACAGACAGAAACAGAGATGTTACCCTGTTGATCATCAAGGAGCTTCGTCATGCAGCTTTCTGTTCGGCCAGCATTCACTTTTCAACAGAAATATGTTTATTTTTAATATCATTAAAGTTTTAATAAAATAAATACAACCAAACATGGAGTATTTTCATCTTAATCTCTGGAACTGAGAAGTTTGAATTTCTTGTCATGTCGTATTTTTCATTTCTTTGCGTGTGGTGATCAGTCCTCTTATGTCTCTTCATGCATTTTGTTCTTGATATATGCTCTAATATTATTCTTTTATCTCCTTTCAGGTGTTCTAGTGTTTCTTCATTCGCTCTATCTTAACGTGTTTCGGTGTAATTTTCTTTCTCTTAGTGTGTTAAAGTGACATTTTGTCTCTCTTCATGTATTCTTGTGTCATTCAGTCTCTTTCCCTGGTGATCCTGTTACGTTGTGTCTAATACATTCCTGTGGAATTTTCCAGTTCCTGTCATTTTGTGTCACTTCATCACTTTGGTGTCTTCACATGTTATTTTATCTCTGTGCATTTTTGTGTTTTGTCACATTTCGTATTCTGCTGTCATGTTGTGTCTTCTTTTGTATCTTAAGCATTTTTTGTAGGCTTAATCTTGTGTCTCCTGTGCCATTTCGTGTCTCCTCATGTGCAGTGATGTAATTGTGTGTGGTTTTGTGCCTCTTAATGTGTTTATGTCTATTTAGTACCTTTGTACCATTTTGTGTTGTCATATGTTCATGTATTGTGGCATGTCATTTTGTGTCTCATCATGCACTTCTGCATCATTTTCTGTGTCTTGACACATTTTTGTGTAATTTTGTGTCTCTTCAAAGGTTCCTGTGTAAGATTGTGCCTCCTCATAGGGTTCTGTGAATTTTTGCGTCACTTCCTGTGTTCCTGTGTAATTTTTGGCCTCTTCGCGTTTTCGTATCATACTGTGGCGTGTCAGTTTGTGCCTCTTCACGTGTTCTTGTCGTGAGAACCTAACAGAGCAAACGTCACAACTGAAAGGTTTCTCTCCTGTGTGGGTGATCATGTGTCTCGTGAGACGGGACTTTTCAACAAATCTTTTCCCACATTCCTCACAAGCAAAATTTTCATTTCCTGTTGGGACCCTCTGTGCTCTCGAATGAACCGGCATATGGTTGTCGAGATCACATTTTCTGACAAATTTCTCCTCACAGATTTCACAGGTAAGCAGGTTCTCCCCAGTGTGGTGTCTGACATGCAGAAGTAGACTTCCTTTTCGGGTAAATTTTGCATTACAATAAGCGCAGGCAAATGGTTTTAGGCCTAAATGGGTCAACATGTGCGCTTGAAGATCAGCATTAAATCTAAAGTGTCTGTCACAATCTGTGCATGGAAATGGTTTCTCTCCATTATGAATCATCATGTGTCGCTTCAGAGCTCCCTTAAGACTAAATTTCTTAGAGCATACCTCACACTGAAACGGTTTCTCTCCCGTGTGGCATCTCATGTGCCGTTTTAAGTCCTTAAGCTCTGTGAAAGCTTTACCACAATTACCACAGGCAAATGGTCTCTCTCCAGTATGGAGTCTCAAGTGAGATTTGAGATGACACTTGTAGGGAAATGTTTTACCACAAAAATCACAAGCAAATGGTTTCTCTCCAGTGTGGACCGTCATGTGACAATTGAGTTGATATTGCTGGTAAAAGGTTTTACCACAATCAGCACAAGCAAATGGTTTCTCTCCGGTGTGGAGTCTCATGTGAGATTTGAGATGACACCGAAAGGGAAATGTTTTACCACAATCTTCACAAGCAAATGATTTCTTCTCAGCTTTAGCCTCAGTTTGAGTGTCAGTGTTTTTCCTTTTTCTGGGCCGTTTCTTTTCAGCTGAAGAGCCAGCAGACTTCACTACTGATCGCCGTGCCACACAGCTGTCACCCTCACCACTGACATCAGCATTAGACGAGTCTGATGCATGTTTTGATGGTCGATGCTCATGTGGTTGAGGGTTTGGTTCTGCCCTTCCACAGTCTCCATCCGGGTCTTTTTTTATCCGCACAGCTGAGATTCTGTTTGCAGCACCCGCCTCTTTGCTGTCTTCGGGTTTGATATGATTTAGTTTTTCATCATCTACAATCTTCACAATAAGCTGCTCTCCCTCTTCACCGATCCACAGTTCTTCATCTTCTTCCTTTATCTGGGGGGGTTGCACATCCTCTTGGTTTACACTGGAGCTCAAGTCATGAGGAACTTCTAGTTTCATTCCCTGCATCTGCTCCACTGGATTAACTGGAACACACAACGATGAACAGTTTTTCTAAAAACTTAACAAAGCAAACAGTTCCATACTGATATTAATGATACCAACAATAAGTATCTCATTCATTGATAATAAGGGAATTACAAATAAATAAAGATATAAAATGTTAAATGTTAGTGGACCACAGCATATTTGTAATTTCCTCTGAAATAATGAATTGTGAATCAAATATCTAAAGGGTTACTGATTTCTGATTAAGCAAATCCATTAATTAAAGATTATTTAACCAATTAATGCTTTATTTATTCTTGGATTTGCATTTTGAATGGTGCTGAACACGTTCCAATTGATCCAAATCAGTATAAAGAGTAATTCAACTTTATTTCAAATTCCTAAGGATAAATTTTGGTTCTCAAAGTGCATGCATATAATTGCACAACATCTTTCATCGTCCTGTAGGTGGGCACTGAACACACACTGAACAACAAACGTATAGGGTAAAAACAAAATAATCAAAGGAAAAATATAACTATGGATCTAAAATCTAAAACATAATAAATTGATAAATGTATATGAATATTGTAAATATTGTAAAAAGTGCTGATAATCGAAAATTCTTAAATAATTTATCATTGGTAAAAGGGAGGTGGTCTCAGTTTGATCGCTTTGGAAAAAGAAGCAAAAGATAATTTGGAAATCTAGAGCAGGCTTTAGACTTGGTACCTGTTTGGTGAACTGGCGTTTCACTTTCTAGAAAAGAACACATAGCACCGGGAGCCCCCTTGCCTGGTTCTGGTCTTTGGGAGAACTCTCCAGCAGGTTCTGATTCCTTCAGTTCAGCTAAGCTGTATGTTGGAGTTTCCTTCTTTTTGTCTTCAGCTTTGATGCGACTACACTCTGAAAACTGCTCTTCTTTTTCCTTTTTCACAGCAGGCTTAACTTCCTCCTTCATATGCTTTGAGGGGTGCAGGTCCAAACTAGAAGTCCAGTGATGGCAAACTTCTTCTTTAACCCCCAACAGCTGCTGTCCAGGAAACACTGAGACAAAAATTGACATTTAAATACCTAGAGAAAACTTTCTCCTAAAATCAGAATTCTTATTTTTATTTATTTTTTGCTCTTTTAGTAATCTAATAAATTTTATGATAAAAAAAATGGCAAAAAAACTAAAAGGAATAAAGAATGAGAAACTAAATAAAGAGGCAGCCTTTGTAGTTTGGTACCAAGATGAGGAGGAGGATGAAGGAATAGTGTGATGTTAAGAAAAATAAACTTCAGGCACAGAGATAATTATATAAAGTAGATGATCAGATAATCTAGGGGCTTTCAGGCAGCTAATAGCTGCCTTTCTTAATAAACAGTTATAGGACTTGAAGCCCATTAGAATTATTAAGATTTGGTCGATAAAAGTCAGTTGTTTTTCCTATTTAAGTTTAATTAAAACTTGATTGATAGCATTATATATATATATATATATATATATTTTTTTTTTTTTTTTTTTTTTTTTTATTAGGAAACGTATTAATCCAGAAGTCATTTTCTCCTGGTTTTGACATCATGTTAAACAATTGACCACAATACAATGACTGTCATAGGTAGCCACAAAACAAAAATCAAATAAATATATTTGTGATGTGCACTCCATGCAAAGAATACTAGAGATAATAAATAAAATAGTGATGCACTAATGTGACTCATTTGAAGATTTATTGTTATGCATTTTAAGAAGTTCAGTGACACCCTAAGTACATGACAAGGGTAATTAAACATCGACTAGGAAGCAGTATGGAAAATAACTTGAAATTGACACTGCTTCTGCACCTGAATGAGGCCCATGGTTGCTCCAATGAGCAGATGGCACAGTAAAGCCAGGCATAAACGTGGAAATTGGACCAAAAAACAAAACAAAAAGAAATATTTTCCTATTGTTGTTATTTGGCATTTAATTTTTTTTTTAAATGGTTGAAGACATTAAGTGCAGGGAATTTATATTTGTTGATTATTTTGGTGCATTTAATGTTAAGTTAAAATATGTTTTTTTTTTAGTAATGATTATCTAATATGAATTATATTTTAGTAGGAATAAGGAAATAATGATTCACATCACAGCAGAAAAAAAACAACAATTCAAAGCTATCTAAAGCTTAAATCCATAAATCGAGCCCAACGGGTGCATACAGCAATACAACCAAAACTACTACAGGAAACAAAAAAAATACAAAACAAAACATTAAAACAGCTTACAAATACATGTGCTCCCTGTGTCTAATGATAGAATGGCAGGAAGAGATTTAATATTCTTGCCATTTCTAACAATATGAAGAAGGTAGCACACATTATTAGAGGCACGACATGTTTTGATAAACCTAGTCTGATCTGGATGAATCAGGATGGTCATCAAAGGTTCTAAACAAGATGCTAAAACAAATAACGTAATTACACAACATTTTTTTTTATTATACAATATATACAGACTAATAATCCAACATAAGCAACTGCTAATATACATACATATAATAAATATACTAATAAATACACTATTCATTTAGCGAAGTAACAAATATAGTCCTTCAGTGAATTGTTTTGAAAATATGGCAAGTTTGAGCATAAATTAATGGGAGGCTTTCATATGATGAATTAGCGGTAAGGAAATATTCCAGATGATGTATTATCATCACCAACCAGCTACCATCTTTGCACAAATACGCACACTTTGACTTTTACTTAAAGTGTGTGATTGTCTACAATTTGTTCACCTGATTAATCAACATCTATCCAACTTCATTTGGTTTCATTTGATGATTTGCCATCTTTTATTATTAGAATTAAATGGCCCTTTAAAATAAATGTGCATTTAATGCTCCTCAGCTAACCACAGTTCTGGATGAGGATGTTAGCATCATTTTTTAAGCATGGTACTATGATGTATGGAGCTAAAAGTTGCAGTGTACAGCTCTGAGTTATGGAAAACCATCAGATTTGATGCTCTTCACTCAAACTGAGGCCATATTTATTTTAATGAGCAAGTTTTGGTGCTTTTGTTATTTTGGGTTTAAAGAGGTTTCGTGGGTGCTGCAACTTTTCACAGCAGGTCAGAAGATTGTCTGGAGTGTTACACTCTTTCAAGCAAAGTGAATTTTTTTACATACGAAGTTTGGCATAAAAAATTGCACCCTGTTTTTGTGCATAGACATACCGTATACTTTAAGCCCCTGGATGCTGTGATCGTCAGGTTCCTGTTAGAGTGATGTGATTTTTGCAGATCGACTGCATCTGGCTACAGCATCAAGCAAAAAGTGAATCCCTGCTGGCCGCTCCTTAAGATGCTGCTCTGTGACACCCTGTCTTATTTTCTGCAGACTTTGCAGCTGAATGAAACAGACCTGGATTCAAGGATTTTTTTATTGTCACTATCTCACATACATGGAACATTATTTACCTTCAGTTTCTTTCTTCACAAACTCCACAAAGCGGGATTGTGTTTCACAGTCCCGGCTCTCCATCTCTGATTGATGTGTTCCTCCAGCTTGAGGTTATTAGTAAGCCCACTAAATATACTTCAAGTAAAGGTCAGCTCTCAGATGTTTCCCTGATGAGATATAAATCCCTCCACAACTAGCATCATACACAATCTGAGGAGAGACAAAACAGGCAAAATAGAAGATGAGAAAAGAGTTTGTTTTTATACAGAGGAAACAAAAGAGACAGAACAAGTAATATTTAGACATAAAACAGAAGACCCAACTTTGGTTCTTAGTGCATAAGAAAAATATCTTACACACACACATATATATATATATATATATATATATATA